GTAGTTAACAGTGAGTTAGATGGAATGTCTGTAGTTAACAGTGAGTTAGATGGAATGTCTGTAGTTAACAGTGAGTTAGATGGAATGTCTGTAGTTAACAGTGAGTTAGAAGGAATGTCTGTAGTTAACAGTGAGTTAGATGGAATGTCTGTAGTTAACAGTGAGTTAGATGGAATGTCTGTAGTTAACAGTGAGTTAGATGCAATGTCTGTAGTTAACAGTGAGTTAGATGGAATGTCTGTAGTTAACAGTGAGTTAGATGGAATGTCTGTAGTTAACAGTGAGTTAGAAGGAATGTCTGTAGTTAACAGTGAGTTAGAAGGAGTGTCTGTAGTTAACAGTGAGTTAGATGGAATGTCTGTAGTTAACAGTGAGTTAGATGGAATGTCTGTAGTTAACAGTGAGTTAGATGGAATGTCTGTAGTTAACAGTGAGTTAGATGGAATGTCTGTAGTTAACAGTGAGTTAGATGGAATGTCTGTAGTTAACAGTGGGTTAGATGCAATGTCTGTAGTTAACAGTGAGTTAGATGCAATGTCTGTAGTTAACAGTGAGTTAGATGGAATGTCTGTTGTTAACAGTGAGTTAGATGCAATGTCTGTAGTTAACAGTGAGTTAGATGGAATGTCTGTAGTTAACAGTGAGTTAGAAGGAGTGTCTGTAGTTAACAGTGAGTTAGATGCAATGTCTGTAGTTAACAGTAAGTTAGATGGAATGTCTGTTGTTAACAGTGAGTTAGATGCAATGTCTGTAGTTAACAGTGAGTTAGAAGGAATGTCTGTAGTTAACAGTGAGTTAGAAGGAATGTCTGTAGTTAACAGTGAGTTAGATGGAGTGTCTGTAGTTAATAGTGAGTTAGAAGGAATGTCTGTAGTTAACAGTGAGTTAGATGGAATGTCTGTAGTTAACAGTGAGTTAGATGGAATGTCTGTAGTTAACAGTGAGTTAGATGGAATGTCTGTAGTTAACAGTGAGTTAGAAGGTGGAATACTGGTTATTATTATAACAGGAAATCAGTCTGATATATCACGGCGACTTGTTAATAAAAACATAGATAGACCATCAATACTTATTTATATTATAATAATCTACCTCATTAACTACGCTTTTACTCAAAATAGCTACTCATCTACCTGGCGAGTACCATTACCTCCCTGATTAATAAAGTACGGAAACTTTTTAAACCTGTTGGAACCACCCTGGTTATTTCCGTTCTTTGATTAAAAATTCGCGAAACTGAAACAAGCTTTCTGTTTAAACCTAAATGGATTTCTAGGAAATTTTTTAGATAAATTATCATCTTCATCCTCGTCATGATTGTCGTCATCTGTAGGAAACACGTCTAATGAATCTTTATGTTAAGAACGACAAACAGTTTCTATGGTCGTCATCATCGTCAACGTCGACGTCACATCGCCATCATCATCATCATCGTCATCATCGACATCAACGTCGTCGTCTCATCGTCAACGTGGTTGTCAGTATCATCATCATAATCGTCATCATCGTCGTCACATTGTTATCATAATCGTCATCATCATTATCGTCGTCGTCATCTTCATATTAGTCTTCAATCTTCATGATTAACATCATTATCAATTTAGAAAATTAAAAACCTTTCAGCAATGTATCAATATTTGTCAATGTTAGCCTAAAAATCAGATAAACATTTTCTTTTCACAGACAACATTAATCACGATTATTCACTTATACATTGAAATTCTATAATCCACGAGGGAATTCAAGATGGATTACTTCCTGTTTACGAAGGTCAAGGTCACATGAAGAACGTAATTTACTCTGGCAGCGACTGACAGAGATCGAAACAGTTCCATTACAGTAGCTATTTCAGTTGCAGTCGATCAGAGGAAAAGTCACAAAAAGAAATTAACAAGCGAAATCAAAATCTGATTTGTCAGATATTCTAGATTATTCCATATACAACATGTTCCCACCTTCTCCTGCTTCCATCCTCGCAGATCTCACAGACTTTCGTAGTTATTCTATGGTAATGGGTAAATGATAAATGTTTGATTTATATGATATTGGAATATCAGTGGTATGACAGTTTGTCGAGGACTAGAGGTTAATGATATACGGTGGTCAAGTGAGGACAATAAACTTTCTCTAAATAACTAAATATCGTTATAAACTCTCAATATTAAACATGAAGGCAGCAGATGATATTTATTAATATTGTAAGTCTTTTAATTAATCTATTATGATTTATTCAATGTTTTATTCTGTTTGATTTATTTTTCATTTTGTCTTAATGTTTACTTCTGATTTTTAATCTATTAAACCATAATCTCACGAGGTTTCTTCTAGTCTTAGACATTAGTATAATATAGTCTAGACATTAGTATATAGTCTAGACACTAGTATATAGTCTAGACACTAGTATATAGTCTAGACATTAGTATATAGTCTAGACATTAGTATATAGTCTAGACATTAGTATATAGTCTAGACATTAGTATTAGTCTAGACATTAGTATATAGTCTAGACATTAGTATATAGTCTAGACATTAATCAATCATCAGCTTGTATATTTTAATGTAAAAACATCTCGTTTTCATCGTATAGAAATTTTAAATTAACATTCCTTCACAATATATAATGTTTACTTTGTAAGTAATGTCCGCTAAAGTCCACCGTAAAGACTGTTTTTTACATCCCCTATTGATCACCGTAGTAACGTGAAACTGATAAAACCAATACTGCAATCAAATTAACCGAGATGGTTTCAGACCACCACTAATTATTGTAATGATTGCGAATAGGGTATGAATCAGAGGTCAGGGGTTAGACCAGCTTGTAAATCACTGTCATAGTTCGTTCATTATTACATTATAGGAGACCAAACCTACATGGTCAGTTACTCGGACTAATTTGAATACCCTTAGGGATTTGACCCGTATCATATTCGTAGCAATACAGAGTGACAGAGTGGGACTTTACGTAATCCGTATCACTTTTTATTATTACAATTAGAGGAGACCAATCATAGTCAATTACGTGGTAATAGACCCAAACTTAATACTTATCAATGTAGTACTAATTGCAGACAAACCTGATACCGTATTTCATTTTGATAAAACAGTAGAAGCTGGTTGAGCGATTGTGTAATGATAAAAATCGTTCAATAAGTCGAGAATAATCTGGGTGAGTAATTCTTGATATGATTGTCTCCCTTGATAAAACTTTTCATTGGAATGTAAACTTCTATATATATATATTTATAATATTTTTATTGTTTCAGGTGTAAACGACTAGTTTTTAAGCTTGAAGATCCTACTACAGAACGACCAAAGATAACTTCATGAACAACTTCCGGTAATGACAGAGACAAAGAATTCCTGAAACAATTAGAAATCAGCTGAAATAAGGTAACTGGTTATTTTCTGGTTATAAAACGCACGTAAAACGTACACGGAGGACACAAACGTAGCAAAAATTTAATTCGTATACCGAAACGCAGTTGACTACTATATCGTTTATCGTCTGTTATTTTCTTCTGAATGGAATTTGAGGCTTTGTGACTGATCGGAAACAGTTTACACTCTCTGTGTTGATATGTCTTTAAAAACAAATGATTATTGATTAGTAAAGATGATGATAATAATAATTAAATAACGTTCTGTGTAGATGTGTTTTATATTTTAAAGTCTGACATGTTGTGTATCGGTTTGTCAGAGTTTATCAGCTATCAGGGATTTTATATCAACCTGATATCTGTCTTCCTTTAAACATAGAGTATTCTTATTTATTGCCTTGAATATTTCGCGACATTGTCTTCAACAGAAATAGGATATGGTTACAGAATTTAAATATAAAAAACATTTTCAAATCGTTTGTGTGTTGGCGATTTTTTAATGAACTTTCAGAAAGGGGTAAACAATAACCAATATAACCCTCAAAGTTGTTTGCGATATCTTTGAACTTTCATACTACGGAAACGGAGATACAAACTGGATTCTATGGCATCATACGCTACGATGACGGAAAGGATGTCGTGATTCCAGGTTCATTAAGGTGTGTTCTGATGTTTTAAGGTTCAAAACGCACCGTTGATATAAACTTTCAAATTAACGACAATAAATAATAACATCAATTAACTTAGAGTTTCCGAATGACGACTTTTATAACGCATTGAACTAATTTTAAATCACCATGCTGGAGTGTCATATTTTAATTGACGTGAATTGTGAAGAAGTTGTTTATTTTTTGATGAATTTGACAACCAATTTGTAAATGTTTACTCGTGTTCACATGGGAAAATTTCTTTATGATCGACAGCCATAGTGCAGTTCGGTTAAAACTTTATTTTGATTTTAAACATTCGGAAAATATTAGTATTGAATTCGTGGAATCTTCATTTAGTGACGAGCGTGTGACGGCTTCATTTTGTGACGAGCGTGTGACGGCTTCATTTTGTGACGATCGTGTGACGGCTTCATTTTGTGACGAGCGTGTGACGGCTTCATTTTGTGACGAGCGTGTGACGGCTTCATTTTGTGACGAGCGTGTGACGGCTTCATTTTGTGACGAGCGTGTGACGGCTTCATTTTGTGACGAGCGTGTGACGGCTTCATTTAGTAACAGCAGGTTTCATGCCACTAATTTATAAACGATGCAGTATAAAGCTCGGATTAGTAGATACAAACTGAAATTAGTTTTAAAGAGAAAACCAGAAATTACTTGGATGTTTTGACATTTCGAATTTAATTTTTATCTGGCTTGAGAATTCCTATTACTGTGAAAATGTTTGGAATTTTGTTTTTCTGAATTGAAAAAATATTTTTGATTTTTTGTGAAAAGGTCTTTACGTGAAAAGGTCTAAGTTTTAGTGAATGAACAAAGACATTTTAAAATGGAGAATCCACTATACGAGCTCCTGGTGTCCGAGGAAACGAACATTTCCCTGGATCAGGAATTATTAGAGGAAGTGAACGGAGTGTCATGGGAACCGGACTTCCTGTCCCGCCTGACAACCGGACTAACACTCTATCTGCAACCTGTGATTTGTATTTTTGGAATGATCGGGAATCTTATCGCCTTCTTTGTGTTTTTTTCGGTAAAAATGAGAACGATATCCTCGAATATTTACCTAGCTGGTTTGTCGTTAAGTAACAGTGCCTTCTTGTTCGCCTTATTTATAGTTTGGCTGGAGATCACAGGCGTTCGTCTTATACATCAGAACGGCTGGTGTCAAGCGGTTATTTATACGTCGTACGTCTGTAGTTTTTTGTCCGTCTGGTTAATCGTGTGCATCGCCATTGAAAATTACATCATAACTTTTCATTTATCGAAGGCGGCCAAACTATGCACGGTATATCGGGCTACCGTGGTAGTGGTTGGGTTAACGTTTTTCGGATTACTCCTATACGATTTCGCTATATGGACGACTAAAGCTGTAATATTTAATGAAACGACGTATTGTTTTGTTCCAGAACAATTTGAAACTGTGGTAACTGTTTTTACTGTTATTGACGTAGTTGTAACTCTCGTATTACCCTCAATAGTTTTAATGATTCTAATACTGGCCGTCTTCGTCAAAAACTTATCGTTACTACGACGACCGCATCCGGATATACGTCACACTATGTTGTCAAGAAAGGAAAGGTCGTTGCTAAGGGTGACAAGACTTCTTTTCGTCATTTCAGTTTCTTTCTTTTTACTGACGTTGCCTAGTTACATTAATAAAGTACGTCATTTAATTTCAATGGACAAAGCAGACATAGTGTCTATACAGGAGAGAGCAGTACAACATATATTTCAACTATTTTATTACGCTAGTTTCAGTTTAAATTTCATTTATTATTTAATATGGGGAAGAAATTTTCGAGAATGTTTTAAAAACTGCTATAAAAATTGTAGAAAAAAGGATAAATGTCGCTTGAATTGTTGCTAGGTAACGAGAGCAAGTATATTTGATTTTGTGATAATTTCAGAAGAAACAAATAAGTTTTGTAATACAAGACAATGATTTGAGTGTGTTTTTATAACAGTTTTCACCCAGCCAGAATGATTTACTGAATTGTTATACCACAACTGATTTCATAAGATGACATTTATACTGTGCATCATGAGACAGTAATTTGAGTCACTGGGATTTGTCGGTATAGTCGGAGTGTCACTGACACCATGTTTAATACTTGTTTTTCTCTCTGTTACCTCCAGTATGTTCTTGTTATAATTCTTTTGTTTGTTCTGTTGTTATTCACATGAAATAAAAATTGTTATTCTTTCATTTTACATTTGTCAAACCAAATTTTGTAAAACTTGGTTATAGTCTCTGATGATATAGTAGACTTTTATCAACTCTATAAAGATACTGTAAACTTATGAGATTGAGTTAATGTCTATCTTATCATTCAGTGTACACTAGAACAGATTGATATAGTGATCAGTGTTTTCAGATAAACCTTAGGGTAGGGATGGCTGCGACCTTACTTGCTTCTAATTTATACTGATTGTCAGTTGTCGGACGCAGCTCTAGTGATTTATTTGATACAGACTTATTAAGTTATTATTGTTACGTTATGCAACTCTCCTGAGGGTCTCGATCTTCTCTCTGTGTATCACCCCAGGGACTGGACAATCTCGAGGGCAGTTTGTAGTCTAGATTATTCAGTATGTTTCTCTACATGTAATTAACCTACTGCCTCCAGCACGAGATCTAGTTCTATAACATAATGACAGAACAGTCTGGAAGCATGTGGTTATATCATCATGTTTACATTCGATAAACAGGTTCAGTAATTACTAATTACAACCCGCGGTGAGAGACAGCCTAGTGTTATATACAATATCATTCGGCAGTTCTCGGCAATTCTCGGCGTAAAGCTGAATAAATGTTGCAGAGCGCAAGAGTAATTTCACAAAGACTGTTTCGGTATTTATATCATATATTGTCAATGGTAGATGAAAAGTGCTAAATAAGCAGTATTGAAATATAGGTAGGTAAATCTCGAATTTACCAAGTGCGCATGCGTCGAACCCCCTAATCTAAAGATTTTTTTTTTTATTATATGTACATATTTATCAATATCGGTATTACAAGATAAGATACAAAACAACCAAGAAAAATAAGAAATAAGATATTAACTGGCCCGCAGTTAAAGGGAGGCAACGCACAATTTACAACCTGTAGGCAATTCGGTGATAATTGTTTCAACACGAGATATTTACACAGTTTAAAACATATTGAGTATTATTCGTACCTTATTGCGTGAGTAAATATATACATTTAAAACAGTCTAAGGTCACACAGGTCCATTTAAATATCCAACTAGAATACTGCTGTTTAAATATCCAACGAGAATACTGTCTATGTATTCTCGAAACGATCTTAACGATCTAGAATCAATGTTAGAAGATAAGAACCTAGGATATCCTAGAATCAATGTTAGAAGATAAGAACCTAGGATATCCTAGAATCAATGTTAGAAGATAAGAACCTAGGATATCCTAGAATCAATGTTAGAAGATAAGAACCTAGGACATCCTAGAATCAATGTTAGAAGATAAGAACCTAGGACATCCTAGAATCAATGTTAGAAGATAAGAACCTAGGACATCCTAGAATCAATGTTAGAAGATAAGAACCTAGGATATCCTAACACTAAGATAGTTTCGAGAATACGTGGCCTGCTGTTTATATTGTATAGTGAATAGATGAAATAACATTCCCTCATGCTGAAAACAACCCAGTGCTAAAAAGAAATGGAGTTTCACGTCCTACTTGTTTCAAAATGGGCCAATAAATCCAGGCCCTGTGCTTTAATACTAGTAACATCCGGGTCCTGAGCTATAATACAAGTAACATCCGGGCCCTGTGCTGTAATTTTAGTAATACCAAGGTCCTTAGTCCGAAACCTCTGCCTCTATTCCAGTCTGTCAGTCTAGACAATTTTCAAAATAGCTATCAGAAGCTGAATAGAGGTAGCTGTTTCGATCTACAATTCTAGTAACATCTGGGTATCAAACGTCTGAATTCCGGGACATTCTGGGACTCCGGTCTAATCTAACCCCGAACAGTTCAGCTTGTCGTAACTCAGGAATATTTTGATTTTCAATCCCACTATCATTACTACTGTTAGAATATCCAGCCATCTGATTGGCTCGTGGATTATAAGCACGGTGTAAATATAATTCTCGGTTCCGATTGGCCGTTAAATTATAATCTGAATTTCTATTTGAATTCCGATTGGTTGGTTCGTATTGTCTCGCGTCATTCCTAATGGTTGACACACCGTACTGTCGGCCTGTATTTCGATTGACCGTTTCAGAATGCCTTGCTTCATTTCTGTTGGCAGAGACACCAAACGGTCGGTCTACATGTCTTTCTGTGTTCCGATTGGCCGCTTCACTATGCCTTCCCTCATTTCGATTGGCTGAAATACTCAATGGACGATCTAATTGTCTTCCTGTATTCCGATTGGCTTGTTCATAATAACCCCTTTCAGAATTTCTAGCAGTGTTCCAATTGGTCGGAATTCCATTGTTTCCATCTGAATATTTCATTGAATTTCGATTGGCTACGGCCAATAAAGTTTCTTTCTGCGGGACAGTTTGGTCGTTTGTTCGATGTCTATTATCAGGAACAACATGGCGGTTCTGATATGTCGGAGAACTACTTCCGATTTTCATGTTTACATTCACCGGACTCCGAGATAAACTTCTAACGTGGATCACTACTGGGTTTTCTGTAGCTAACGGACCGACTCCGGCTTGACGGATATTAGCGTTGATCGGTATTCCTCTGTTCGCCGGAAGTGACGTATTGGATGAATCGAGGCTAATAGTATCGTCTGTTACACTTGCGATGCGTCCATTTCGCATATGTCCGTTTGCGACTTTAGTATTGCCGTGGTGTGGGTCACTTCCAACGTCTGCCACAGATTCATGTGATGTATAACTTCCGTTCACGTAACCTGTCTTACGAACACCAATTACAAACACATCCGGTGCGTCACTGGCCGACAACGGTATCACATGTCCATTACTTATCACAGAAATTCCATTTTCCGCATGTCTCTCCGATTGTAACGGTTTCACCAACGGAAACCGCATCGCCACTCTAACGTACACGACTAACATTGCGGCACACACAAGTGTAGAAATACTGCTTACGACTAAGTTCATTATATTTAAAGCTATGCGGTCGCCAATAAAACTATAATTAGGAGGATCGGAGATTAGAGTGTTGTATTCGAACGCAGATAAACAAATTAACAAAACGGACATGGCGAGCGACACAAATGTTGATACACCACAAAATCCTACCTGAAAATAAGAATAGAATCGAAATGGTAAAAGATAGATTGAAACTGAAAATACAAACAGCAACCGTATATTTAAAGTGATACGGTCAACTAAAATTCACTTTATTATCTCCCTTTAATATTAAAAACACTCACCACACATTTTAAAGCTGGTTTATCTAAACTGAATCCAACTTCTGATTTGATACAAACTGCTCTCACACCGGCCGCTAAACTCTGAAAAAATCACACAATAGATTGGAAGAGTGGGAAGGGGTGATTTTTACAAACTTTATCTGAATAACCATTGTTAGGATCTCAGAGTTAATTGTAACCAAACCCGTATAAATATAAAATCTATTCTAACCAATCAGAACTGTTCATAGGTAGATTGGTAGACATGGCGTTGATGACAAGATAGATGATCTGATTGGTTGAAATTATGAACACATCGTATTGAACAATGTTGCTTGATTCAATATGAGTTGCCACAGTCAAATAAATTTCCACCCTTGTCGAGAAAACCCTCCAAATGCGTTTCGTGTGAAAATATTTTCGACAAAATATTGTTTAGATTTCGAGTTTTGTTTTGCGGTTCGGATCTTTAGTAGGCCTAGCCTACTTGGTTTAAGTATGGACTGGTTGCGTTTATGTTTCGTCGATACAGGGATGAGCAAAAATAACTTGATTAGCCCTGTAATCTATTGACTGAATCTACTCACCGTTATGCCTATCACAAAGTTTGGTGTAATTCTCGAGCTGTATGATTGGCCTTCTAAAAAGGTTCGTTTGAAAGACAGGATAATCGTGACGGCTGTCGCCATCAAAATACAGCCATGCATAATCCCGACTACTCCAGTTGGTTTCAACCAATTTAAAGCTCGTCTTAATCTGGAAAACTCCGGGTCTGAAAATTAAAAGCCATGGAGTTTTACGTCGTATTCCCTACTATTCTGCATCTTACTGGTAAACCCAGTCTCTCATCTATTTCATCAACTGATCATCGTGGTCGTGAACTCTAATCTTTATCGACTTGTGAAACTCTGGTAACCTGGAAATTTCAATACCTCGTGGTCTGATCAAGGCTCAGTTGATAGGAAGTATTCTCGTGGTCTGATCAAGGCTCAGTTGATAGGAAGTATCCTCGTGGTCTGATCAAGGCTCAGTTGATAGGAAGTATCCTCGTGGTCTGATCAAGGCTCAGTTGATAGACAGTATCCTCGAGAAATCCATTAAAAAATGATGGTTTCTCTCTGTCTTTCTTAACTGAGATTTCAACTCTTCGAAAATAAAAACCATTTAAAAACATTCTTGTCAACTTTAATTTATTACAAGTCACAATTGTCAATAAATTATATAAAGAAATCTCACCTATCGTATTTCTAAATCGTATCTTCTCTTTCTTTCTGCCTCGTTCTTCCATTTGAGTCGAATAATTCCCCACGTTTTGACGACATTTCAAACTATTTTATCTCATTTAGTTTCGTTTTCTGTTCAAATAAAAAAAAACAAAATACAACCGATTTATCAGGCATTCATCTATATACTCTAATTAGCATAATGACGTCATTGATTTAAATAAAATGACGCATAATTTACTGCTAGATGGGTTTTATTGATAAACAACGCGGACCTCGGAGAGGGCGTCATTACTGTCTCATCTTCTCGGGTCTTCACATATAAAACAGGCGTTAGTTCCTTTAAATCTTTATCTTTGTCGAACTATACAAATAATTTTTTCGTTAGTTCATTTGATACCTATTTCCACTGTGCGATTGTGATTCTCATTTGATGTTTAGATTACATATTTTATAATAAACACAAAACTGACAAGCACAAGAAGAAATATCCTCTGTTATATAACTTCCTTATTCATATCAGAAACCTAAATATCAAGTCTATATATGGAACCTGATTGTACAAATCTCTGTCTTAACTGATATCAGTTGCATGCGGGTTGGCACCGATATGGTCCCCTATACTGTACAACTATTATTATTAATTATATATATCTATGTTTTTATTTTGGTTCATACTAGTCTAAAACTAATAAAGTAAAGTTTTGATTCTCCGATATGAATCTGTTTCTCTGTTCAACATCAAGGTTAAAAATTACAAAGAGTCATTATGAAGAGAAATTAACCGTATTGCATAAATAGATCATTTTTATAAATCGATACGTACAGACGATAAACCACGTTCAGTAGCCGGGCAGAATGATACATAGAGACGATAAACCACGTTCATTAGCCGGACAGAATGATACATAGAGACGATAAACCACGTTCATTAGCCGGACAGAATGATACATAGAGACGATAAACCACGTTCATTAGCCGAACAGAATGATACATAGAGACGATAAACCACGTTCATTAGCCGGACAGAATAACAAAAACAGAATCCAATAAAACACACAATCAACTTAAAGACCATTCCATATAGAGGTCTAATAGTATTTACAAAATAACAATATAATACAATAACTATTAACATAGAATAGTTTTAAATGAATTCATTTCATATTATAAATAATAAAAAAAATTGTATTATTCACAGTTCATGTTTGTTTTGAATTGTTCAGGACATGACGTAGCTGGTCACGTGGTAGTTTACCCCATTTCACAATTCACGGGTTGAATTAATCATCATTAATATAAAACTCACTGATGTGTAAATATGATTGATATTATTCGTCAGGTATATCATATCAGCTTGTATGCTATTTTTATATTAGTTATATGTCATTCTGTTAGACTACTGTGATACAGACAACAGACACTCAGTACATTAATCAGGCTTGTAGGATGTAAAACTCCATTCCACAATATACAAATACAACCCAATAAGATACAGAACAGTATTATATAAAACTACATTCCATTTCATTAGTCCAATAAGATACAGAACAGTAGAATATAAAACTCCATTTCATTTCATTAGTCTAATAAGATACAGAACAGTAGGATATAAAACTCCATTTCATTTCATTAGTCCAATAAGATACAGAACAGTGGGATATAAAACTCTATTTCAATTCATTAGTCTAATAAGATACAGAACAGTAGGATATAAAACTACATTCCATTTCATTAGTACAATAAGATACAGAACAGTAGGTTATAAAACTCTATTCCATTTCATTAGTCCAATAAGATACAGAACAGTAGGATATAAAACTCTATTTCATTTCATTAGTACAATAAGATATAGAACAGTGGGATATAAAACTCTATTTCATTTCATTAGTCCAATAACATACAGAACAGTAGGATATAAAACTCTATTTCATTTCATTAGTCCAATAAGATACAGAACAGTAAGATATAAAACTCTATTTCATTTCATTAGTCCAATAACATACAGAACAGTAGGATATAAAACTCTATTTCAATTCATTAGTCTAATAAGATACAGAACAGTAGGATATAAAACTACATTCCATTTCATTAGTCCAATAAGATACAGAACAGTAGGTTATAAAACTCTATTTCATTTCATTAGTCCAATAAGATACAGAACAGTAGGATATAGAACTCTATTTCATTTCATTAGTCTAATAAGATACAGAACAGTAGGATATAAAACTCTATTTCATTTCATTAGTACAATAAGATACAGACCAGTAGGGTATAAAACTCCATTTCAGTTCATTATCCCAGAGAATTTCAAGATAGTTTCTACAGTCCAACAAGGCATCCCATCATATAGACCTATATTATATAAAAGTCTTGACTATAAATCGAATACCAACCGCAGTATACAGTCTTTTATTTATATTTATTTATTATATATATCTCAAGTATCGATTAATATAAAAATAATATTATTTTCTAATATTTAATATCTGTATAGAGCTTATTGATAACTGACATAGTTTTCTAAACGCTGACTAACCGACATCTGTCAATCGTCTTTTGTTCTGACATTTTATCACCGACTTGGCAATTTAAAAAATGTTATTAGTTGTCCATTTTTTCTCAACATGAACCTTGTCGAAAACCTTGCTATAGCATTTCGTTCTTACTAGTACGTCCGCGCTCCTAATGTAATTGTTAATGTACTAATATACTCAACCATGGTTAGATATTGTCGGAAACATATAGTTATAAGGTTAAGTGCTTACTACGGCGTCCGCGCTCCTAATGAAAAACATTAAATCGTTTTTATCTATAAAGGACACTATATTTTGGTTATTATATAGAAAACCTATATCAATCTAGGCTAAATGTGGTACCTGACAAGCTTTCACAAAGGTCCGTGCTATATAACCTGTAAAATTTCAGTGCAGAAAAATCGAAGTGTTTTATTGTCGGTAAATGTGTTACTTTTCTTGATAAAAATAAAACTGTTCAAGTCTTGTTCTATAGTTAATAGTTATTTAATCTAAGCTGTCAATTGTACTGTCACAGACCTGGCAATATTTCCCTCATTGCACACGTCTTTGTGCTGTCCCAGTACAAGTAAGGACCTGGATATCACGGCTTGATGTTAGTAAAATATACCAATCAGTATTTTTGAAAGTATTTTGGACACACTAAGGATATTACTCACCACTCTATGATACATTATTTTATATATAATACAATTATCATTCAATCTAGAATATTATCGATTTCTCCTGACAAAATAATGTTTATTGAATATAACTACGTATCGTACAGTTTTAATAGAAATATATTAAACTATGTAAACTAAATAGGCTGATTGGG